AATATTGCAACTCGAGGCTTATTTTTTTTCTTCAGTTCTTTCTTTCAGCCTGAGAAATGCTGAGCATATTCTTTCCTTTTTGTTTTCTAACTCCAGGTCTTTGTACATTTCATTATAATAATTGACTGTCTTCTTGAGCTGCTGTTTGAAATCTTCTGTTCAGCTCTTTTATCTTGTCATTTCTTCCATTTGCTTTAGCTGTTCACCATTCAAGGGCAAGTTTCAGAATCTCTTCTGACATCCTTTTTGGTGTTTACTTCTTTTCCTGTCATTTTAAGGACCTTTTACTTTCTTCGTGGATGATGTTCTTGATGTTGCCCCACAATTCTGCTGGTTTTTGGTCATTGGTGTTCAGTGCATCATATATATTCTTTCATATGGTATGTGGGTTTTTTTTTTTTGTTTGTTTGTTTGTTTGTTTAATTTTGAAAATCTATTAATTGCAGGATTGAATCCTAAGCTAAGCTTGGGCATTTGTATTTGGAAGGCATGAAAGGGCAAGCCACTGAGAGCTTTACCTGATTTGCACTCTGTCACCTGGGGATGGTAACAGACTTGACTGATCAAAAGTGCCAGAAACTGCATGACATGATGGAGTTTCCTAGCGCCCCTCCCCCCCAAATCTTGACCAATTTAATCTCCTAGAGAACCCCAATTGTAGGGCAAGCAAACTGAAGTAAAAGTTCATTGTGGCAGAATTTGAAAGATGAGAATCAAAATTTCATAATAATTATATTGAAGGTACTGGTTTAAAAAAGACTTTTTATGTTTATTAACTTCTTGAGAATCAGTGTATGTAGTAAAATGCCAGATATCAAAGAACAGAACCTATAGGGATCTTCAGAAGAAATAAAAGGAATGGGGATTGTGAAGATTATCATCAACCTAGTGCTTCTTCTATAATATAAGCTTCACCTTCAGCATTTGTTCTTTTATGACCCAAGATTCCCCTTACTTTAATTCTCAAGTATTTAGTTATTATGAAGACTGACAAGAATGTTAAAATAGGTCAGTTTGGTGCAGCCACAGCTGAACCAATTGGATTTCAGTCAGTGTTTGCCACCACTATCTCCATCTTTAAGAAACACTGGGTGGGGTGGGGTCTTTAAGCATCTTGCTAGGTTTCCTGTTTTTGAGGAGGGGCGTTCTTAGAACATCCTTTTGGGTGTTCCTCAGACCAATCATATTGTTACATGATTTCACAGATGAGAAGTAAGAGATTGAAATGTAGATATCTGCCCAGTTTTCCAGGCATTCTGAAATCTGGACTATGTGCTCAAGTTCACGTCCTGTAAAGTCATGTTTTACAAATGAAGCAGCTGAGACTTAGACTGTTTTGGGGAATAATTGCCCAAGGTCACATAGTAGTAAGTTGAAGAGGCAGAATGTACTTCAGATCATCTTATTTTATAACCAGGAATATTAACTGGGGACCTGCTAATACCCAGGGTTCTGCCAGACACACTGCAAGGAGTATAGATAAATACAAAGTGTTTTGCCCCAATTATGGGTACGAAGACAGTCTTTAAATTCAGAAATAATTTGAATAGTAGCCAATCATTTGTGAGGCTAGAAATAGAAGTTTTTGTAGTAATGCTGGGGATAAAAGTAAGTCTTATACATAAGAGTTGGACACTTGAAAATCTCAATATTTCTGTAAAGGAAGGATTTTCTAGTGGTGGTTCCGATTTCAAGCTTGGATTAACTCACATAAGACAAATCACTCCTAATTCATTAATGTTGAAGTATCACGTTAGTATAAAGAAAACTCCTGCCCTTGGGAAGACGAGTCATACAAAATGGTAGAAAAAATAAAACAGTGCAGAGATAGGTTCAGCTGAAAGCCTGGAGAGGTATGAGGATGATAGAGATTGGGGGAAGCATTTCTAGATGAAGTGAACATTTACCTTGTAACACATAGGTAAGAGTTTGAAGAGTGGAGGGACATTGGGATGAAGCTGGGAATGGAATAATTCATCTGATTTAGGGTTGCAAGAGGCTGAGGTGACACAAGCCTTAGGATGGTGGTGAAGACACTGGCAAGGAAAGGGTAATGATAAATCAGTTAACCAAGGGCAGACCTTTCAATTCGCAGCCGAGTTTAAGCTCTGCACCACTGTGACTCCTTTATGAATAAACAGACGGACCTAAAAGGATTGAGTAATTTGTTCATACCTCATTGTTTTACTAGCAGAAACCTTTTGGCTGCTACTTTTGTTTATATTTTCAGAACCTATGGTTTTGTATGTTTATGAAAGATGATCCCTGTTCTCATAGGATTATTGAAAGGATTGAATATCCACCCAAGAAACTCAGTTGCTGTCGAGTGGGATCCGACTCAGTGACCCTCCTTGGGTTTCTGAGGCAGTATCACTACAGAAGTAGATTGTCCAACCTTACTTCCAAGGAGTGCCTGGTGAGTTTGAACCACCAGCCTTCTGGTTAGCCGTCAAATGTCTTAGGCACTACACCACCAGAGGATTGAATGAGTTCATATTAAAATTTCTGTCATATAACGGACATTCAATTTGTGGTAGCTCTTGTTTATAGTTTTGTTTTTACTGTATACCTGTTGGTTGAAGTCTTTCAGTTGCCACATACGATTTGAATTGGAGGATTAAGATAAATCTTAATTGGAGAACAGCTATATCATACTTGTTATTAGTTGCCATTAAGTTGATAATGACTCATGATGATTCCGTGTGTGCCACAAAGAACTGCTCCATAGGATTTTCAAGGCTATGCCTTTCAGAAGCAGATTAGCAGGCCTCTCTTCTAAGGCAAAGGCACTTTGGGTGGGTTCAAACTGCCCACCCTTCCCTTGGTGGTTGAGCACTTAACATTTGTGCCACCCAAGAAGTCCTTTATCCCATGCAGGGCATTCAAGATATGTCTCAAGGCATATAGCCCTGAAGGAGTAGAAAGGGAATTGCCTTTGAGCGTGTTTGGACAGTATCTGAATATATTCTGCTGACCCCAGAGTGCCTTGGGTATCATTGTTCACCTAAGAACAGTGGAACTTGCTAATGTGATACAGACAAAGTTATGTGTTGGCCACTATGCAAGCATGTTCTGAGAAAGAAATCATGCTAAATGTGGAGGAGGTACATGACACATCTAAAATGTGAAGTACCTTGAAACTCTGAGTGGACCATCCTGAAACTTACTGGTCTTCCTGTGTGTGTTGCTGGTAAAGAGGAGAAACTTAAAAAAACAAAACAAACAAACTCACTGCCATCGAGTCTTTTCCGAGTCAGCGACCCCCATAGGGTTTCTAGGGCTGTAAGTGTTTATGGAAGGAGACTGCCTCATTGTTCTGCACAGCTGCTGGTGGCTTTGAACCACCAACCTTTGGATTAGATGCCAAATGCCTTAACCACCACACCACCAGGGCTCTGTAAAGGGAAGAAGAGAAGAGGCAAAGCTTGCTTTGTGGTTATAGATCCCTGTTAAACTTTATATTTACTCCACCTTGACTTTCATGATCAATTAGAAATGCAGGGTCATGTGGACATGGCAAGCAAGAGTTGACATCTCTCTGATGTGCCCAGGGCTATCCTTCAGTGTTCCTAGTTCTCAGTTTTTCTTGCTTTATCTGCCAGTGTGCCCAGTTGCCCCTGGTTTAGAACCCTCTCCCCACATTCCCTTAGAGCACCTTGGCGAACCTCGTACCCGCCCAGGTATAGGTGTACTTCAGAAGAGGAGCCTCACTAGTGCAAGTGCACTCCATTGGTTGATTTCATTTTGGATGGAAAAACAGTGGAGAAATGGTTCACATCTCTCTTTATTAGCTTCACCTTAGGAGTTTTTGCCAAATTCACATGTTTTGAACACACTTCTAGAGATTTCTCATTTAATTGATGTACAGTGAGGCCTTGACAGCAGAACTGTCTTCAGAATTTCCTAGATGATTCTGATGTACAGCCATGGCTTAGAAACACCGATGCCGAGGGAGCTCTCTGGGGATAGGTGACCAACTCAGAATGTAAAGTTTATCGCTCACTGTTCTGTCTTACTTGTGAAAAATCAGCCTTAGTAGGAGGGTGGCAAAGGGGCTAATCTTTCTCGAAGAGTACCCATTTCCTAGATTCCTCCTTCCCCTCATCCCCTGCCACTAGGTGGTGGGGTTAGAAGAGTTCTCTGCATCCCCACATGGAGGTCTGGAACTCTGTTGAAAGGAGATATTCCCACTAGAGAGGCTGTTACCCTCTAACTCAAACATGATTGGCCTCACGCCTTTGATATCTTGAGGTTACTATTTGCAGAGGTGTTTTTTTTTTTTTTTTTTTTTTAAACTTTTTTTGTGTGTCATTAGAGCCCTTTGGTGGTCCAAGGAAGCCACTGATGGTTCAAGTTATTTTTAAATGCATAAGATAAAATGTGTAGTAGTTCAAAGAAAACAAGTTATGTTGAAGTACAATTATCAAAATAACAAAATTTGTAGAACAAGTTTCTTTACTAATATACATTATATGACATTTGGTGGTGGGTCTAATAACTACCATAAGCTTCAAAATAATGATAAATATGTGCAGTGTCTTAAGCTAGCTGCAAAACTGAGAGCGTATGCAAATGGCTGGTTTCTTCTGGAGATAAAGGCATAGGTACTATTAATACTCCTATGGATTGTAGCCACCATTCACAATTGAAAACAATGTTAGATTTCAGTATTAGGTTTGTGAAAATAATATAATTTTTCCTTTCCAAACTCAGTGATCCCTGAAGATCTTATATGCTGTGTATTAAGTATATTAATATGTTAGTCTTCTTTCTACAGGTGAGAAACAACAGCTAAAGACTGAAGTTTTTTGTAGTAATAATTGAGCTTAGCTAGATACATATGTCACAAGCCCTTCTTTTGATCCTAAAACTCACATTGTAATAATGTTTTTAATTTGGCATTGTTGTTGTTGTTGTTGTTGTTATGTGCTGTGCAGTTGCTAGCTCTTCTCTGAATGCCAGTTTCCCAGAATGCTAATGAAAGTGGTTTAATGTTACAGGAATATAAGCGCAAGCTAGCCAGAGTTTCCCTGGTGCGCAAAGAACTCAGGTCCCGGATCCAGAGCCTGCCAGACTTATCTCGATTGCCCAATGTCACTGGAAGCCACATGCACCTGCCTTTTGCGGGGGACATCTACAGTGAAGATTGATGACCAGTCTCTTTCCAGAGCTCCAGGACTTTGCAAGAATTGGAGACAGGTTAGGTGAATAGTCCTGTAGCATTATTTTTGTATATTGTTGAGAGAGTGACACTAACAAAAGAAACAAGTAATTTATAAAATTGTTTAAAATGTTGGTTTGTTTACTATTTTATCGGTAAATTAACATGACTTGGTTTAAACAACATGATGATCTGTGTATTAATAAGCACCAAATAGTGATTATTTTCAAAAGATCTTTTTGTAAATTTTTTTTGACCCAGGGCCTTGTGAGATAGTTCATGTTTCTATTTCTTCACATATTTTTGAATGTTTTTCTTTCCTTTCGTCAGTATCTAATCACTGTATACTATGTAATTTCTAAAGGGGAAGAACTAATCAGGAATTGGTTGAGACTTTATTATGGTATAGTTAGGACTTGATTATAGAAGGAATAAATGTTCTAACTTAATCTTCACCCTTCTCCCATCCAAATGTCAATTCTGTGCCTCTCAATGCCTTTGATTCCTTATTCTCTAGAGGTCATTCATTTAACACTTAACATGGATGTCACTTTGAGGGTCAGATCAAAGCCTATAGAACCTTTTCTATAATAGGGATTCTATTGCAACTATTAGTGTAGAAAAATAGTGTTAAACAGGGAGTTCCTTGATTAAACTATTTAGAATTATTTGAGTAGATTAATATGAAAATGCTTTGGAAATGTTATAAATTTTGACTGTACAAAAAGGATACCTTTGATGCTGGAACTGCTATCTATTTGTCAAGTCAGTCTCCTTTTAACATAATTGATCCCTTTAACATAAAGCCATGTATGGGATTAAAAGAAACAAAATAATGATACTTCTGTTACTCCCTTCGCCACATAGCTTTAAAAACAATAGTATTTTTATCTCTAATAGCTGAAGAACATAATATTCAGTAACATTCAGTAAAGTAACCTGGAACATTTTTAATGTTTCCTCAAGGTTTTGAATGACTGTAAATTTGGAAATTAAGCCGTGCTACACTACAGGGTATATCTGCTTAAATTTTATATTTGTATATTCAGAATTACCAAAACAAATGTACTTTTACCTGTAATTTCTAACCCTGTGTGTTAGAACATTTGCATGCTCTCATGCTTTTTTTAAAGCACGTTGTTAAGCTGTGGATTTGTATCCAGTAATGACTTAGGATAAATATTTTTTTCATTTATTGCTTTGCATATTAGACCTTTTTCTTTTTGTTGTAAGCAGATTCAAATTAGAATAGTCAATAAAACTTCTCCTTTTATATCCCACAACCAATTATGTCTCACTAGTCTGAATGCTAGTCTAGGAGCTCTGGTAGCATAGTGCCTAAAGGCACTTGACTGCTAACCAGAAGGCTGGCGGTTCAAACCCATCAGCCACTCCTCGGAAGGAAGGTTGGGCAATCCTACTTCCATAGTGATACTGCCTCGGAAACCCAAGGAGGGGTCGCTATGAGTCTGGGCCGACTCGACGGCAAATAACAACAACAACAACAACAAGTCTGAATGCCTTCATACTGTTTCTTTCTCAGTATTAGAGGATATAATTAAAATGAGTTTACATGTAAAGAAGAAGGCAAACATTAATTTTAATAATCAATACTTCTGTAAACAGTGATGTTCACAATTTGGCCTCTCCCCAAAAGAGTGATACATATATATGTCCATATAGATGTGGACTATATTTTAAAGTTTTTTACTTCATCAACTTTTGGGACTCGGGCCACTTTTTTACACTGAAACAATAGTAGGTTACCTGTTGACACTACCACAGAAAACTCACCTGGGAACCTCATCTGCTTAACCATGAATGTACTTAACTTACAATGTGGTTGACAAATTACTAATAGCAAGTCCTATCTGGCATTTGTAAGGGCAGCCTGATGAAGGAAATGGCTTGCAGCAGACAAATGCACACGCTGAGGTGTCTCAGCTTGGGTCTGCTGTACTATGTACTTCTCTCCTTACATGTAGAAAACAGTAAGCACAGGAGAGTAACAAATGCACAGTTATAAAACCTTTGTAACCTGTTATACCAAGTAAGTTAATCTTTTGTTGTTAATGTGAAAGTCACCTTACTTTCAACATCTTAACCTTATTTATGATGTGGTAAAGTCATGACTTACCCATTCAAAACACTTTTTTCCTTTGAAAACTAATTTTTAAGCTATATACTCCTGGGAAGATTTGAAATCTATTAGGAGTGTTGAAATATTTTCACTGTTTAAGAGAGACTTCTGACTTAGATACTGATTTTAATGCCAGTATCTGTTCTAAATATTTATGATATAAATTATTTTTTTAAAGCACTTGATGGGTTTTGTGATATGTTATAGTACTTAAGAACTTGAAACCCACCCTCAGTCCCACCCCGACCTATATTCTGCCGACCCGCAATTGTTGGTTAGCTCACAAACAATGTGGTCTAGTTCAAAGTCATGTTTTCAGCCTTAGGATTGTTAACTTTGTAAGCCTTAGCAGTAAATAGTCTTCATTTCTAAAAGGAAGATTACATTTTCTCATGAAATAGGATTAAATCATGAGCATTTTCTCTCCTGTGTACCTGAGGCAAATCATGCATCTTTGAATGCAGTTTGGCCTAGACCTTCACAACAAAAGCATGTCACCATACTTGAGGTAGGGGTACCGTGGTTTGAATGGATACCATCATTCTTTTCTCCACAAACTGCAGAGAGCTTTCTGGAGTGGCAGTTTGAGCAGATTCCCCGCACTCCCTCTGCTCCCTTCACTACAGTAACTAAAGAACCACAGGAGGAAACCAGGAGTCCGAGAAGATCACCTGCGCTCTAGCCAGCCTCTTCTTCTAGCTCCAGATGCAGCTGTTTTGGATTGCTTCTCACATACACTCTGAATCAGGGTTTTTCTGTAAGCAAAAAGCTGGACTAGCCTGATCATCTTGATTTGCAAAATTAAAAGAATAAAGCTAGGTTGTCAGTTACCCACTATAGGTGAATATTTCACCTATGTAAGTATAGTCAGTGAACTGGTTCTGAGAAGTCTTTAGAGAAAATACTCAGAAGTATAAATTAATTAATTGGGAAAGTTAAAATGTTCTTTCTGAATTTTCCTTTCTAAAAAATGAGCATTATTTGAAATACTATTAAACTGCTATTAAACTAGTAAGAAATAGTTCCTAAAGATGTAGTCTTGTTTCATCATTGTTGCACTGTATCAAAGCTTTTAAAGTGTAAATCCAGTTCTTTGTATAGAAAGGGAACATTGTGTTACTGAATTTATTTATCCAGAGCATTTGTCACCAAATGTCATTCCAGCCATTCATCCATGAGTGTGTTCTGATGTGGTGGTAGCACACAAGAAGATGAAGTCTCCCTGTCTGTTTACCCCTTTTTCTTTGGCTGTATCTGATGATAGTATAAGATGTTCTTAATAAAGTTTTATGTTCTTTTTGAGATGTGTAGGTTATTTTTGTGAATCTGATTAATTGAATATGGGGTGGAGAGGGGAAAAATTAATGCAGTGGGAGGCAAGCAAAGTATTGGCAGTATTCAGCAGTGTTAAGGCAGAGAGACTGCTAATGGGTATCCCTCTTGCTTGGCTAGTGGTTCCCAAACTTGAGCACCAGTATCACCTGGAGAGCTTATTAAAATACAGATTGCTGGGCTCCATCCTCAGAGCTTCTGACTCAGTAGGTCTGGAGTACTGCCACATAGTTTGTATTTCTAACAAGTTAATGCTGATGCCACTGAGTTTAGGGACCACATTTTGACAACCACTACTCTAGACCAACTTTGTAGTCCATGGCTTGCTTCACAGTATAAGATACTTAAGCAATTCTAGGTAATAAAGTATGGATTTTCTAGTTCATTATATAGTGAGTTTCTCATGGGCAGAGAATAAGACTATATCTTCTTTTGTGATCCATTGCTCAGTATAGTGGTTAAGTTTGTGTGTCAACTTAGCTAGGCCTGGTTGAGTGGCTGGGCAGCTGAATGTAGTTATTCTCCAAGGTGAGATTGGTAATTAATTCCTTGGTGGAATCTATTGGATCAGCTGAGTAGCTGCTTTGGTTATGTGGTCTGCTTCCTGTATATAAGAAACAGTTTTGGGAATGATCTCTAGCTTATGGCACGCTTGAACCCTGCATGCAGCTGTGTCGTTGTTCAGCAGCCTGCCATGCTCTGCCAGCCTTGGGACTTTCAGTGGATTTGAATTCATGGCCTGCCATGTGATATGGTAACATCGGGACTGTGCCTTTTTACTTGTCAACCTTGGGCTTGTCAGTCTCAGCAACCAGCAGCAATCTGAGTGAAGAAAAGTCTCTGGTTTCAGTGGACCAGGAGGAGAAGGCAGAGCTGAAGCCCAAGGTTGAGGGGCTTTTATCCAGCCCCTAGAGCCTGGCACTTTGAACTTGGACTTAAAGCCTCCAAATTGTAAGAATAAACTCTTGTTTCTTCAAGCCATGCCATGTGTGGTATATTCCTGTCAGAGCAGCACTAGGTAACCAGAAGTCAGTAAACCAAAAAAACCAAACTCAACTGCCATCGAGTCAGATCCAACTCATAGCGACCCCTCCTTGGGTTTCCTAGGTGGTACCGCTATGGAAGTAGATTGCCCAACCTTCCTTCCTTAGGCATAAGTGCAAGTAGTAAGTGCCTTTGAGTGAACAGATTTACTTGGTACCTTGATTTTCTTCCTGGAGCACAAGCCCTCATCACACCTTGAATTTAAAACAAAATTGGGGGGAGTACTAGAAATCTGTGGGAAATTAGGGCTGTTGTATTTCTCAAGCTTGAAGTGAGACTCACTTGGTGCATTTGCAGAAAGGACATCTACCTGCTGAGTCACATTGGCTGTGACTGAGGTGGTTCTTGCCATGTAGAAAGTTTGGGAGATGTAGTCCTCTGGTCATTGCTCTCCGTTCTCTAATCTTGGATGGCATTTGTTCATTTTATCTGAACTCAGGTGCTTCCCATCCCACTTTTACCACCTCTGCACTAGTGGGTTTTTGTACAATGTGTGAGAACCGTCAGGGTTGTTCATTAACACAGATTCTGGGATCCTATATCCACAAATTCTAGTTTAGAACATTTGGGATCTATTAAAAAATCTGTATTTCAAACAAGCTGTCCTTATGATTCTGATGCAAGTAACTCATGGACTACACCTTGAAAAACAATGCCCTACAAATCATAATCTATAACATATAATAATGATAGCTAACACATATAGAATTAATAATTAATTAATAGAACTAGGAACTGTTCTAGATACTTCACATGTCCTTTGTGAGAGATACTCTGCTCCTCTGCTTCAGTTTTACATGTGGGGGAACTGAGACACAGTTTAAGTCCTGTGTGTGACCCTGAACAAGTCAAATAGTCAAACTGAAGTTCAAACTCAGGCAGTATGGCTCTTGAGCCTGTGTTCTGTAACCATTACTTGATACGGCCTCTTACATTGGTATGTTGTGCAGAGCCTCTTCTTTCACCAAGTCCACATTTTGTATGCGGTTACAGTAAAATAACATCGTACAAATATTCCTATTCTAAAGCAGCATCTTAGCTAAATAAGTACTGCTTAAGGATGGTAGTTTTAAGAAGAATATTACACTGAATCGTTTTCTCAAAGCAATTGTTTTGTTTACTTTAACAAAGTAGAGATAAAATGAGTTATTGCTAGAGATACTCTAGACAACGTTTAATGACTACTACTGTGTTTAGCTATTTATGAACTTTTCCAGTAATGTCAGACAATGTTTCACTGTAATTCATAACATTTTCACTGGCCAGTGCTTTGAGAAGTGGATGGTCCCTTTCTTTTTCCAAGTCTGCCTTAGTCTAGAAGCTCCACTGACACCTGTCCACCATGGGTGACCCTGCTGGTATTTGAAATGCTAGTGACATAACCTCCAGTCTCACAGCAGCACACAAGCCACCATAGTACAACAAACTGATAGACATCATTGCTGGTATCAGATGGGTCTTGGCTGAAAGCAAAGAATACCAGAAAGATGTTTGCTTGTGTTTTGTTACCAATGCAAAAATATTCAACTGTGTGGTTCATAACATTATGGATAACATAGAGAAGAATGGGAATTCCAAAACACTTGGTTGTTCTTATGGAACCTGTACATAGATCATGAGGCTGTCATATGAACAGAACAAGGGGATCCTGCATGGTTTAAAATTAAGAAGGGAGTGTGTCAGGGTTGTATCCTTTCACCATACTTACTCTATCTATACTGAGCAAATAATCCTAGAAGCTGGACTAAATGAAGAATCATGCAGCCT